TTTATATCACACACACTCTGTTTTATATCACACACACTGTTTTATATCACACACTCTGTTTTATATCACACACACTCTGTTTTATATCACACACACTGTTTTATATCACACACACTGTTTTATATCACACACACTCTGTTTTATATCACACACACTCTGTTTTATATCACACACACTCTGTTTATATTCACACACTCTTTTATATCACACACACTCTGTTTTATATCACACACACTCTGTTTATATCACACACTCTTTTATATCACACACACTCTGTTTTATATCACACACACTCTGTTTTATATCACACACTCTGTTTTATATCACACACACTCTGTTTTATATCACACACACTCTGTTTTATATCACACACACTCTGTTCTGACGCGAGACTGAGCCGCAGCTTCAAGTCAAACCTTTTATTTATTCCATTCCATTTTCTTCCGTTTATCCGGGGCCGGGTCGCGGAGGCAGCAGTCCAAGCAGGGACTCCCAGACTTCCCTCTCCACACACACGTCCTCCAGCTCTTCTGGGGGGACCCCAAGGTGTTCCCAGGCCAGCCGAGAAACATAGTCCCTCCAGTGTGTCCTGGGTCTTCCCCGGGGCCTCCTCCCAGTGGGACATGCCCAGAACACCTCCCGAGGGATGCGTCCAGGAGGCATCCGGAACAGATGCCCGAGCCTCAACTGGCTCCTCTCAACGTGAAGGAGCAGCGGCTCTACTCCGAGCTCCTCCCGTGTGACTGAGCTCCTCACCCTATCTCCAAGGGAGACGCCCAGCCACCCTGCGGAGGAAACTCATTTCGGCCGCTTGTATCCGCGATCTTGTCCTTTTGGTCACTACCCAGAGCTCATGACCAGAGGTGAGAGTAGGAACGAAGACTGACCGGTAAATCGAGAGCTTCGCCTTTCGGCTCAGCTCCTCTTCACCACAACGACCGATACAGCGACCGCATCACTGCCGAAGCTGCACCGATCCGCCTGTCAATCTCACGCTCCATCCTCCTCTCACTCGTGAACAAGACCCCGAGATACTTGAACTCCTCCACTTGGGGCAGGGCCTCTCCACCCACCCGGAGAGGACAAGCCACCTTTTTCCGGTCGAGAACCATGGCCTCGGATTTGGAGGAGCTGATCTTCATCCCAGCCGCTTCACACTCGGCTGCAAACCGCCCCAGTGCACATTGCAGGTCCTGGTTCGATGAAGCCAACAGGACAACATCATCTGCAAACAGCAGAGATGATCCTGTGGTCCCCGAACCGGACCCCCTCCGGCCCCTGACTGCGCCTAGAAATTCTGTCCATAAAAACAATGAACAGAACCGGTGAAAAAGGGCAGCCCTGGTGGAGTCCAACATGCACCGGGAACAGGTCTGACTTACTGCCGGCAATGCGAACACAGCTCCTGCTCCGGTCATACAGGGGACCGGACAGCCCTTAGCAAAGGGCCCCGAACCCCATACTCCCGGAGCACCCCCCACAGGACACCACGAGGGACACAGTCAAATGCCTTCTCCAAGTCCACAAAGCACATGTGGACTGGTTGGGCAAACTCCCATGAACCCTCGAGCACCCGATGGAGAGTGTAGAGCTGGTCCAGTGTTCCACGGCCAGGACCAAAACCACACTGCTCCTCCTGAATCCGAGGTTCGACTATCGGCCGGATTCTCCTCTCCAGTACCCTGGCATAGACCTTACCGGGAAGGCTGAGGAGTGTGATCCCCCTATAGTTGGAACACACCCTCCGGTCCCCCTTCTTATACAGAGGGACCACCACCCCGGTTTGCCAGTCCAGAGGTACTGTCCCCGACCGCCACGCGATGTTGAAGAGGCGTGTCAGCCAAGACCCACAACATCCAGAGACTTCAGGTACTCAGGACGGATCTCATCCACCCCCGGAGCCTTGCCACCAAGGAGCTTGCCAACCACCTCAGTGACTTCAGCCAGGGTGATGGACGAGTCCGCCTCCGAGTCCCCAGCCTCGGCCTCCTCCTCGGAAGACGTGACGGTGGGATTGAGGAGATCCTCAAAGTATTCCTTCCACCGTCCGACTACATCCCCAGTCGAGGTCAGCAGCTCTCCCCCCGCACTGTAAACAGTGTTGGTGAAAAACTGCTTCCCCCTCCTGAGGCGCCGGACGGTTTGCCAGAATCTCTTTGAGGCCGTCCGATAGTCCTTCTCCATGGCCTCCCCGAACTCCTCCCAGCTCCGAGTTTTTGCCTCTGCGACCGCACGGGCTGCAGCGCGCTTGGCCCGCCGGTACCTGTCAGCTGCCTCAGGAGTCCCCCGAGCCAGCAAGGCCCGATAGGACTCCTTCTTCAGCTTGACAGCATCCCTTACTTCCGGTGTCCACCACCGGGTTCTGGGGTTGCCGCCACGACAGGCACCACAGACCTTACGCCCACAGCTCCGAGCAGCCGCATTGACAATAGAGGCCGAGAATGAAGCCCACTCGGACTCCATATCTCCGGCCTCCCCCGGAATCCGGGAGAAGTCCTCACGGAGGTGCGAGTTGAAAGTCCCTCTGACAGAGGCTCCGCCAGATGTTCCCAACAGACCTCACTACACGCTTGGGCCTGCCAGGTCTTTCCGGCTTCCTCCTCCGCCAGCGAACCCAACTCACAACCAGGTGGTGATCAGTTGACAGCTCAGCCCCTCTCTTCACCCGAGTGTCCAAGACACGCGGCCAGAGATCAGATGACACGACTACAAAGTCGATCATCGACCTCCGGCCTAGGGTGTCCTGGTGCCACGTGCACTTATGGACACCCTTGTGCTCGAACATGGTGTTCGTTATGGACAAACTGTGACTAGCACAGAAGTCCAATAACAAAACACCGCTCGGGTTCAGATCGGGGAGGCCGTTCCTCCCAATCACCCCTCTCCAAGTGTCACTGTCGTTGCCCACGTGGGGCGTTGAAGTCCCCCAGGAGAACAACGGAGTCCCCGGTCGGTGCACTGTCTAGTACCCCTCCCAAGGACTCCAAGAAGGCCGGGTACTCGAGCACTGCTGTTCGGCCCGTAGGCCGACACCACAGTGAGAGACCTGTCCCCGACCCGAAGGCGCAGGGACGCGACCCTCTCGTTCACCGGGGTGAACTCCAACACACAGCGACTGAGCTGTGGGGCAATGAGCCCACACCAGCCCGCCGCCGCTCCCCGCGGCCAACGCCAGAGAAATGGAGAGTCCAGCCCCTCTCAAGGAGTTGGGTTCCAGAGCCCAAACTGTGCGTGGAGGTGAGGCCGACTATATCTAGTCGGTAACGCTCAACCTCCCGCACAAGCTCAGGCTCCTTCCCCCCAGCGAGGTGACATTCCATGTCCCCAGAGCCACAGTCTCCATGTCCGGAGATCTGGTCGCCGAGGCCCCCGCCGTCGACTGCCGCCCAGATCTCTCTGCACCGGCCCCATATGGATCCTCCTGCGGGTGGTGGGCCCACGTGAGGACGGCCCCACGTCGCTCCTTCGGGCTGAGCCCGGCCGAGCCCCGTGGGGGGAGGCTCGGCCACCAGGCGCTCGCTGGAGAGCACCCACCCCAGGCCTGGCTCCAGGGTGAGGCCCCGGTGACGCCAATCCGGGCGACGTAACTGGCCTTGTTGGTGTACTCATTATAGGGGCTTCTGAACCGTTCTTCGTCTGACCCGTCCCCCCGGACCTGTTTGCCTTGGGTGACCAGGGGCATGAAGCCCCCGACAACAGAGCTCCCGGGATCATTCGGGCATCAAACCCTCCACCACGATAAGGTGACGGTTCAAGGAGGGGATGTACAAACATGTTCATGTAAAAAACAGAGTAAAATATTTTTGTTTTTCATTTTAATTGTATTTTTTTGCTCTGAAACACTTAGATCTTGTTTCCATGGAGACGTTTGGCTTTAATTTTCCACACTGCGGAACATTTTCCAAATCCAGAAAAACGTCTCTTTTTTATACAAACTGATCCCCATGGAACTCTGACCTGACTCACGGCGACCCGACTCACGGCGACCCGATTCACGGTGACCAGACTCACAGTACAGAAGGGCTTTGGAGAAGTGTGACTCTGGAGCTCAGGAGAAAAGACTCGACTCAGACTCGACTCAGACAAACTTTACGGATCCACAGGGAAATGTTTTGTTTGAGTCACATCACAATAAAAGAAAACAACAAAGAGGAAAATATAAATGGTGATAAAATGTAAATAAGTTTGAAGGTGTTTGAGCAGCTGTGAAATAAAACAGAATTATATAAATGTCCAAATAAAATAGAAAAAATAATAAAAAATAAAATAAAAATAAAACATCTTCTATTTGGATCAATGTAAAAAAAGAAAAAAGACAGAAAAGGATGACGTCATAAAAAGATTTAATTAATTATTTCATGTTTTATTTTGAAACCCACTGCGCCCTCTGCTGGACAAGAGCGGAAGTGCACGAGCGTCAGGAGCTGCCCACGTTTAATCTGAAACAAACAAACAAACAAAAACACTAAAAACACTAAAAGTCTCTTAATAAAATGATAAATTAAAGCTGCAGCAGCTGGAGTTTTTATTTAAATCAGATTAAACTAAAGTTTAGATGAAAGTTTCAACTGATCGTGAAGTTTCTCAGGCTCCATCATCAGCGCAGCTCCGGGAGGAAAAACCCGCGTGATGCTCCGGCTCCGGCTCCGGGTCAGGGTCCGGCTCTGGCTCCGGGTCAGGATTCGGGTTCGGGTCCGGGTCAGGGTTTGGCTGTGCGCACGGCCCGTAGCTCGGTCCGGTGAGCGCGTGAGATGATCTTTTGGTCCAATTGCGGCGCTTCCAGCGGCTCCGCGAGGCTCGGCTCCGATTGGCCGAAAAGACTCGAATGATGTGACCGGACTCGCCGCGTCTGAGTCTCTGGACAAATTAGAAACACGATCCGGACTTTGGTGCGGGTCATGTTCTGGTGTTTTGGTAAACGCGGGGACGGCGGCGGCGCGCGCGGACGCACACGGGGGTGAGTCTGTGCGCGTGTATGCGTGTGTGTGCGCGCGTGTGCG